GTAGAAGAGATACCAGAGTAGAAGAGATACTAGAGTAGAAGAGATACCAGGGTAGAAGAGATACCAGGTAGAAGAGATACCAGAGTAGAAGACATATTAGAGTAGAAGAGATACCAGGTAGAAGAGATACCAGAGTAGAAGAGATATCAGAGTAGAAGATATATTAGAGTAGAAGAGATACAAGAGTAGAAGAGATACCAGAGCAGAAGAGATACCAGGGTAGAAGAGATACCAGGTAGAAGAGATATTAGAGTGGAAGAGATACCAGAGTAGAAGAGATACCAGGTAGAAGAGATACCAGAGTAGAAGAGATACCAGAGTAGAAGAGATACCAGAGAGAAGAGATACCAGGTAGAAGAGATACCAGGTAGAAGAGATACCAGGTAGAAGAGATACCAGAGTAGCTTATGAAAGCACGTTTCTGCTGTGTCTACAGGCCACATGTTTTTATCACATTTTCAGACTGGCTGCTCTCCACAGTCCGGGACTCAAACCACACAGTGGACAATGTGTGATCTGGCCACCCCAACCACCATGCTGTGGGCTGTCCCCTGGAAGCTGCTTCTGCCCTCCCGTCTCCATCACAGCCGGTCACTCCTTTGTCCCCCAGCGCCCTGGCTTGTTTACCCCTGTGGCTGCACTTCCCGCGCCGTGCTGTAATTCCTGAAACTCACTCGTTTCCCCCATTACACCACAAGCAGGGGGCAGAGCAAAGCCTCCACACACCAGCACAGCATACATATGTGTCTACAGCATACGTTTTTATAACGAAGAAAGAAAGAGCAAGAGAGAACTAGAGGGAGAGTGGAAAGAAAGACGAGAAAGCAAAAGGAAAGAAAAAGGGAAGAATGAAAAAGACAAAGAAAGAGAGAGGGTGGAGAGGACTTGAAATTTGTATTCTGGGAGCCCTAGTAAAGAGTTCAAGTGGCATGAGTGGCCAAGGGGCTCCCTGGTCAGAATTGTCCCTCCAGATTCCCCTTCCAGGAGAGGGCCCCATTCAGATATGGGGACTCTGGGCCACTCCCAGCCTGCTTCTCATCCTAGGGCGATCGTAAGTTCCTGTGCTGGGTCTTCACCTTCCCCTCCGTCTCTCACAGGGAGCTGGGAGAAAGCATCACAAGGAGGCGAACGGGTCCTGCGACCCGGGATCAGACTGCACGGTAAAGCGATTAACCCCAAGAATCTTCTTCTTTTAAAGAAGTAGTTATTGAATTGTATTAATTCATTCGTTTATTTTAATTTGACCAGAGAGAGACACACAGAAAGAGAGAGAGAGGGGCAAAGTGAGAAAGCAAGCCACCAGGTCCAGCACTCGAACTGTGGTCGGCCATGTGGGACTATCCAACACCTTAACCAGCACGCCACCTGCTGGCCCCAAGAATCTTATTCTTAAAACACACCATCTATGTGCATTATTTGACCCTAAAGACTCACTATTCTTCATCACTTTGCTTGTCCCTCCTAGTTTACACAGTCTCCAGAACTGGGTTCGTCTTCGGAACAAACCTGTTCCTCTGAGGGATAAAGGAAAGATCCTGACGGGCACTCTTACTCAAAAGCGTGGGATCTAGAACCCCACCCCAGTGCCCACCATCGGGCTCTACTCTGCGCCCGTCATGTGACATGACCAACTTGTCTTTATCACGTGTGTGTGTCTAGGTGTATATGAGATGAAATACACACATGTGTGTGTGAGTGTGTTCATTATAAATAGTAACATAAGCTCTTTGGGAACTACAGAAAGGAAAATGATCCCCAATCCCAAGATTTGCTGTTAATTTTCAAACATAGCAGAAATCATACTTTACATAGAATTTTATTCTTCTGTTTTATCTTCTCAATTTTTAGCTTTTACAATCACCTTTTTTTTGAAGAGGTTTTCGCTATAGGGCACGGGTACTCATCAGAAAGAAAGAGAGAGACAGAGAGACAGAGAGTGAGAAATCACCCCCCAGAGGGGATGGTCACACCGCAATCCCTTCTCCTCCATTCTCCTCTTGGGATCTTGGGCATGCACACACATGCACCGGGCGTGAGTTTAAGCCACCGGGTCCGGGACGCGAACCACGGTTGACTACGTGGGAGGCCAGCGACATAGCCATTATGCTAACTGCTGGTCCCTACAATCACCTTTTTAAATGTCTGTATGTTCATCCCTCAGGTGAACACGGCCAAAATATACTTGATCATTTCCACTTTGCTAAAGTTTTTTTTTTTTTTTTTCAAGTTTATTTCTTTCTTTCATGAGAGAGCGGGTGACAGGTACCTCTGACAGGTTCTCACAAGCTGAGATCTCCCCTGAGGCTCCCAGCCGGCCAGATCACAAGCACACCCAGCGTGTTCAGGTCAACCCAGGATCTGAACCTAGGGCCTACTGTATGGTTCCAGCAGCAGCCTCCTACCACCTCTGCCACTGCAGCGGGCCCCATTTTGTTAAATGTACAGTTACTTCCACTTAAAAACATTATTTCGTATTCCATACAAACTATTTCATTTAAGTTTTAAATACCCTTAGGTATTTATGCTTTTATGAACATTCTTACTCCGTTATATGTTGCCAGAAGTAAAATTACTGGATCAAAAATATGAACATTTCGGGACCAGCAATTGGCATAATGGTCATGTTGCTGGACTCCCATGTAGGTGACCACAGTTTGAGTCCTGGACCCGGTGGCTTAAACTCACGCTGGACGCATGTGCGTGTGTGCCCAAGATCCCAAGAGGAGAATGGAGGAGAAGGGATTGTGGCGTGACCATCCCCTC